AATAAAAATTTTAATATCATTCGTTTTGCTACATATAAGACAATCATTACTTTGATGAAACGTTTAACAAAATACCACAAGAGCGTGTAAATTGTGAACATATTACAGAACATTATTCAATCACAATTTAAGACTATTAGTAATTACGCTACTATCATAAGTTCAATGTAATATAGTTAGTATGAAATGATGATACTACGAGGTCAATATAATAATAATATCCCAATCAGTTTTTCATGGAAGTCGTAATTTTGGCAGAATCTTTGTAAATTAGAAATATTTTTGGTACTAAATGATCTTCAAAAAATATTCGTTTATTCGTGTATAACGCTTCTTCCTTCTAAAATTAGATAAAATTTTTTAGTAATATTTGAAAATTGGGACAAAATTTCACAAATTATGTAAAAAAAAATCCCTTTTGATTTAAGACGTCTTAAATATTCTTAGAAATTTATAATAAACTCAAAAGCAATAATTACTTGAATTTACTTTGGTTGGTTGGTTGGGTTCCGTTACGCTTTGCTACCGTTGATCACCAGTTCGTAATAAGCGTAAGATTACAGGTGGGCTATAAAAACCAACCGGTTTCCTTGAAGAATCTATCAAAATCCCCGATGCTTATTTTCGATATCTCCTCCAGCCCCGTCACATTTTGCTTTACTTTATTTTATTTAAATATATTTCCACATAGAAAATAATGTCAAAGTCCTTTTAAAGTCAAAAAATTTTAAAATTAAAAATTACGTGTGTGTGTGTCATTTATGTTATATTGTGCTTTGTTGATACAATTAAGGGCTATGTAATTCCATTTAATAATTGAAAATCTGTTTATTATTTAATTTCTATATAAGTAAAATCTTAATCCGTACTATATAACTATATTTTTTTTTATGTACTTCCGCCTTTCTATAGTCGTTCCTGATTCTTGTATGAAATGTGTATTTCATATATGTATACCTCTTCTTGCTATATAAAATTCTGTATGCTAGAACTAAATTATGATTCTGTAAATAATTTTACTCCCAATCGATTTACAAAATTACAAAATTTTAAGAGAATTAATGTTCCGTTTCCTCTTTTTAATTTTTATTAAGAGTTGGAAATAAATTTTTCAGAATTATGTGCAAGGATATTCAACTTATCACATAGAGATTATACAAATTTTCTTTTAAATTTTATTAAATTTATTTTGCTCATAAAACAATTTATTTTGTAATTTAGTTATTTTTTAAGATTCCTTAACATAGCCAATTAAAATGAAGGCAAACACTTAAATAAACAATTGCTGATAAAATAATATAAAAGTTGCATACTTTGAGGGGGCAATATTGTTTAATACTTTATAAACACCATATTTCCTATTATATTCCTATCTTTCTATCATCCTATCTTTCTATATGAGCCTTGTATTGTGCTACATACTTATTTATAATGTTTCCGTATTTATAAAAGTATAATTTTACGCACAGTTTTATAAAAATTCGCCAGGGTTTTTCCATTTCTAATTACAATTTTTCAAAAGACAAACCTATTGCTTTAATTAATTACAGTTATTAATAAAAATTTATCAAATATTTATAAAAATTTTCTTTAATTATACACGAATTATAAAATAAGACAATTGTTGTGTCACTGTGTGCGTACATAATAATGAAATTCCAAAATGGCTATATAAAAAGAAACTGTTGTGAAAATTTTTCAATTATTTCTAATTACAAGCTAAGAGAATCATCATAATTTCAAAAATATTAACAAAACTTTTCAACTAGCTACAAATATTTTAGTTATGAGAAAATTACTGAATTTTTTGTAAATAATTAAAAATTTACAATATTTTTATCTTGTTACCTTGAAAGTTATACTCGTACACAAATTTCTAATAATTTGTAAAAGGAACAGGAAAAAAATATCAAAAATTTTCTACTATAGTACTTTGGTACTTTTGTTAATGAATATTATGAAACGGTACTTTTGCACAGATTTAAGTTAAAAACTTAAATTATATAGACCTATAGACTAGAACAAAATATTGTAATTAACGTGATTCTCTACAGAAATATTGTCAATATTAGTAAAAAAATGTTGAATAATATTTTTAATTTACAATTTTCTTTTAATATCCTTTTTTTATTATTCCCTAACATATTTTAAGAACTGTTGAGTTTGAAATTATTGTCTTTACAAATAATTATGAAATTCAGGTACTAAAAATATTTTTTTATAGGTTTTAATTACAAAAGCCGACCATGACTCCGCCTCCTACATATTTTTTAAATTTTGATATATTAAACAAACTGAACTCTGATTTTAATGAATAAAATTTAAATTTACGAATTCAAGAGGAATACAAAAATTTAACAGATTTGAAATCTTGACTCCTAGACTGCAATTTTCAATATTTGACACCTCGATTCGGATTCTGATTTTACGATTTTGACTCATTTCTTTTTGCACAACTGTAATCTTTATCTGCGTCCCTGTGTTTATGACTCTTCGACTCCGATTTCTCGAAACAAATTTCTTAATTCTGATTCCGCAACAATGCCCAATTCGATTTTTAACTGTTTGACCTTGATATCATGAATATGACTTCTCGACCCTAAATTTCGACCAGGTATTCAAAGATTACGATTTTTCGATTCCAATTCCTTCACTCGAACTCCGACACTTCTATTCCAGCTCGTCGATGAGAGCTTCTAAATTACATCTTCTCAACTCTAACTAATAATAGCGATAGTAAAATTTTAGAACTCGCGAGGGACATTTCGTTTTACTTGTTGTTAAAAAAATATATTTTTTTCTTTAGGAAATTTTGTATAATATCCATAATTCTTACTCGTAATAATAAGCTGCGCATATGGTAATTTCAATTTATAATTTCCAAATTTCGTCAGTCGAATATGAGCAATGTTTTTGTCATAGTGTGCGTTGTACAAATCCCCAATAATCTCTCAATATTTTTCTCACAAATTTGAGAGCTCAAGTCAGCCATCTTATCTTTTTCATTTCTTCTATTCATTTTTCATTTGTTTTTCAGAGTCTTTCGGAAAATTAGAATTGAAATAAAGATTTATGAATAATTTTTGCCTTGTAACTTTTGTGTTGTGTTTGTAAAATTAAAGTTACGGCTGATGATAGTTTTGTTTTCTTTATGTTTTTTTTTAATTAATATGAAAATTGGAATGGTTTTTTTGTTATCTCTGAATAAATTTTGTTTTAATTTACTTAAAAGATTGTTTGATGAAAAGGATATTTTCTTGCTTCCTTAACATAGCATGTAATCTATATAGAGAGTAATTTCAAATTTTAGTTGGAGAAAAACTCAAATATTATTCTACGGAAATAAACAAATATTTTCCTTTTAGATTTTATAAAGTAAAATTTTAATTTTCAACCATTTTAATCATAGTTATTAGTTTGCATGCTATTAAAACAAATAAGGTTCTCAAAATTCCCGACAATCTTGACTCAATATTAATTATTTTTCGATGTATTATTGTTGTGTTGTAGGTGGTCGGAACCAGTATGTAAATTTTTATAATAAATTGTGGAATTCCAATGCTCAAGCTTTTTTTTTAAATTGTCATAAAATTATTTTTCAAATAAAAATCATATTCACACAATTCGACAAAGAACAGAAATTAAATCATTGTTAGTCACAATTAGACCAAGTCTGTCTAGAGCCATAATTAGAGATTTCAAAATAATCAATATTTTTCATAATACAGGAAAAATTAATAAAACATACAGAGTAAAATTATGCTCCCATCTACAGTGATCCGTAACTTGCGCTGAAGCTCTCGGATATTGATTCCTTGGAATTTTCTAGGAAAAAAATTGTTCGTGTCGGGTAGGTAGAGGGAGTGTGGCTTGGTTACATCTCTGTTTTACAATAGTTGCAGTATAGAAAGGCAACAACAATTAAATTGTTTTTCAATTTGCTGATGAGACCCTATATGTTCTTACAATTCTTATTAATATGCATGTTATTAAGCTAATATTGAGAAGTTCTAGAACTATAAGAATAACTAAATGAAATTACTTCATTTAACTGCAGAATAGGTGAATGATATAATCTTTGGAAAGAGTCAATGTAGAAAAATTAAAAAAATTTTCTCCTCAAACTTGACTTAAACTACTGACCTATACCGCTTACAAAGCGGACACTCTACCAACTGAGATACAGAGGCATGAAAAAATTGCAGACAAATTTGTTATTCATATTGCTTTACAGTAATCTACATAATTACCAAGTATTTGTTTACATGAGATTGCTAAATACAATTTTCCATTCAAAACACACAATGACTAGAATATATAAATAGCAATTGTTCCTATTACACTAAAGGCATTACAAATTGTCAATACAACGTGCGGTCACAGTTGTTTAAGTTCGACTATTTATTTTGCCTTTCAGATTTTTTATCAGCTTATTTGTTGTCGATTTTGTCTGTTTCTAAAGAAAATATTTAAAGATACAGTTTACAGTTTGCAGTCCACATATATACCGACTTCTTCACTTAGGAATAATAAATTAAAAAAAAATTGCATACGCTCAGGCGAACAAAAATTTTTACTTTAATATTTTGTTGGAAAACTTGTTGTTAATTAAATTCATTAATGTATATTCAATTAAATTATTAAAATAATTAATTAATTTAACAATTTTTATAAATTTAAATAATTTAATATTAATCAATAAATAATAATAATTCTTGATTTTTCTTTTTCATTTCAGTAATCAACTGGAAAATGTAATCAGCAATTATGAAAATTTCTAAAATCACAGTGCCAAATAAAATGCAAAAATATTTTACAATAATTAATTCTAATTTCTAAAGAATTCAAATTATTTCTTGAAAAAATTTTCCTAATTTTATTTCTACACATACCTTCGTAGTCTTATATACTTAAAAAATAAATTCAAAATACTGAGACTGAATTCAAGATGATAGAATTTAAGAATTAAAATTATAAAACAAAAGAAATAATTGAATAATTATTAATAAAACAAAAAATACAATTATAATTAAATTAAAAATAAAATTATAATAAAAATTGTATCTAAATAATAAAAAGGATATGGGAAGAAATTAAGCGGAAGAGAAAAAGAAAAGCAAAACAAAGAAAAAATCATTTAATATTAAAATTAATTTTCATTTTTTTTTTTTCTTTTGTGTATAATTTTTTAAATAGTGTGTGTACGTACGGTAATTTAATTTAATGAGACTTTAATAAAAATATATATTAATTATATTTGTTATAATTATTTGTTTGTAATATAACAAATGGGAGTTTGTAATAATGGTAATAACTATAATAGCGCTGCTATTATGGTTGAAGAACCAAAAGATTTTGAATCAGCTATAACAATAATTGAAGAATTAAGAGCAAAATGTCGTTATCAAACGGAACATATCATAAAATGGAAGAAAGCATATGCAATGCAGGTATAAAGAAAATTATTCATAATTATTAAAAAAAAAAATTAAATAATTTTATATAATAATTTTATATCTGAAAATAACAAACATATTATTAAATTGTCATTCAAATAAGCCACTGTGTGGTAAATTCGATATTTTGGAAATTCGGTTAACGAAGCCCATTGTTTTGTTTTGGTGCTACAATAAAATCGTGTTAATTAATCTCGACCTGTTTGAGAAATTATTTACAGAAAACTTTTTACTCAAATTTGAAAAAGAAAAATTTAGAAATTTTAATTTAAAATTTCTTGTACCTGCTCTATGGTGTTTTCAAGTAATACAGCAATTTCTCCCTAACACTTAAAATGGAATTGCACACAACTATATATCTTGTAGCATGCAATAGGTCTCAAATGGTATAATTATTACAGGATCTCAGAAATAATCAAATTTTATTTTATTAAAGATAAATGTCTGGTTTGAATAATCATTGTAATAAATATGTTTTTTCAATTTCCAGCCCCTTTTGATAGCTTTGAATTGAAATTAAAATTTTGAAATTTTTAATATCATATATATGTACGCCCAATTTATCGTTATTTTAAATTATCAGAAATGCTAGGCCCAAATCTATTCTTAATACCTCATTTTAAATTAAATATTAATTATCTTCTCAACTAATTATTATGGCGATAAGAGAGTTTATAATATAGAGCGTGATCATGTATTTCGTTATTTTATCTCTAATTTTTCTGTAATTCGCTATCTTCTTGTATAATGTAACTTCGAGTGAGAAGAATTTTTCCGTATGAAATATCTCGTTTTTTTCTAAAATCTATACAAAATTTATTCACTTTATTTTTGGGAGTCAGACGTTCAGTAGAAGTTGAGAGAATATGCAAAAATTCAATTGAAAAAAAAATTTATTAGTAATCTTATTAAAAAAATGAAATTTCCATTAGAAAAAAACAAAAATACACGATCAGGCTAGTAATATCACTTACCTATAATTTATTAATGTGGGACTCAACCGAAAATATTAAAAAATTTCCATTTTGAAATTGAGAAATCTAATTGAAAAAATCATATAAAATTTAATTTGGAAACCCTTATTTCCATAATTCAATTGTTCTTCTTATTCAATATGACTATATTTATACCCGTACGAACGTTTGTAACGCTAAGAAATAACGGTGTTAGATATAGACTCAAGTGCATGTTTTTGATCAGCGTCGAATTCTGAGTTGATAGCTTTGTCTGTCCGTCCGTCCGTCCGTCCCAGCGATAACTCAAAATCTAATTGAACTAACTTCACCAAATTTTCACAAATGATTTATTGTATTAAGTACCAGAACCCTATTTAAATTGGACATAATCGGGGTACTGGTTCGGGTAGCTGCCATACAACTACAAAATTTATTTAGCTATATTTCAGAAACTATTAAAGCTATGGTATTGAAATTTCACACAAGCGATTACAATATTAGGGCCAATGTGCTTGATAAAATTCGTTAAAATTTCTTGGCTCTTTCTGGTAGCTGCCATACAACTTCAATAGTAGTTTGGCTCACACAGTATTTTGAAAAACACATAGTACTGAAATTTTGCATAAATTAATATGGTAATACGGCAACTTAAAGTCATAGTCTGTCCCATAGTCAGTTATGGCATATTTATTCGCACACGGGATAACAAATTCGTATGGGTATCACAGAGTTGACAAAGTCAACTCTATTTTTATTCGTTTATTTTAAAATTTCTGAAATTTTTTATAACCCTGACTTTTATTATTCCATTTTTCACATTCACACAAATTATTACATGGTTTATCTGTCAATTTTCAAAACAACTTTTTTCAATTAGAACATTGATATTATAATTAAATTTTTAAATTGGCAAAATTTTCAGTAATTTTAATTTTGATCTAATATTAATCGCTCCATAAACCTTAAATGTATTTATATAAATATGTGGAATCATTGACCTCATTGTAACAAAGACCATTTTTATTGATTTATTTTAAATTTTTTTTTTTCTTATTTTTAACACTTATCGCTATATCATCTCATAATTTAATATATATAGATATGTAATCAATAATAATCCTTGTATACATACATATATGAGTATAAGTCCATTACTTTTTCTTAAATTCTTCTATTTTATCATAGCGAGGACACAAACAAATTTTTATCATCATATTCCCTCCTTCTATTCACACGATTCTCCTATATATATAAGTGTTGCTCATTTTTTATTTTGAATATTTTATTAAAAAGGATGGCAATTCGCAGTTTTTGAAAATTAACCTTTTTCTGTGTTCTTCTGTAATAATGACGCCCCACAACTTTTATTATAAAACACATTTTACTTTATAATTTACTTTTATTATTTTTTTTAGGAATTTGTTATCTGTATAACAACGTACTGCATATAAATTTATGTACATATGTAGGTGGCATACTGTTTATGTATTAATAATAAAAACTTGTTAGCACAACATAGGTACCCTTTAAACCCCTCAAAATAAATTTTTACACAAATTATTAAAAATTAAATATAAGGTGTCTGAAAAGTTCACGTACTTTTTTTAAATAGTTTTACAGCTTGAAACTGTAATAACAATATTGAATAAAAAATTTATAACAAATGCTCAAAATTAGCTCAATTTGCTGTACTACATTCAAGGAGGCGATTTGGAATATTGTTGACAATAATCGCGCACTGTTCGATGGTAATTTCATCCTATACGCGTCTCAAAGCTCCCTGAGCTACCTCTCCAACGTGTTCCATAGCTCCTGGTAACATTTTATGGTATCATAGACATTCATTTTTTTTGGTAATCAAAAGTCCTTACGATCTCAGCTGTCTTCATACCTAACCTGTGTAATTCTATAATAGTGATGCGCTTGTTATCACGATTCATATCTAAGCTAACAAAAAATAAAGACACAGTTGACAGGTACTACTTGTGTTAAAATTACACAACGAATGCAAATAATTAAACCAAATTGATAAAAAACCAGAATTATAACAAGAAAAATTAGTATTTCCAAAAGTATGGGAACTTTTCAGACATCTTGTACATTGCATTTATGTGCTAAATTTTACAGAAATTCGGTATATAAACGTGTGTGTGTATGTGTATAGATTAAAATAATATTCAATTTTCTCATTGACTCTTAAAATTATTTTATGTTCCAAACCTAAAACAATAAATTTTTTTTCAAATAAATTTCCTTTTTAATGGAATCAATCATAATCTATAATAAATTTATTTTTTTTTTAATATAATATGACCACCATAATATACAATAAATTTTACTCTTATAACACCATAAACTGATGACCTTATTTATATTTGTATGTGTATATGGATTTGATGTCAGATTAAAAATATGAACAGATTTTACCACATTATATGGTTAGAATATTTTAAATATTATGAGTAAAATATTATATTTAGAATCATTTTATTACCGAATATAATTTGTTATTATAGTAATTTATAACAAAACAGAAGAGATCTGATCAGCCTCTGACCGATTACATTTTAATAATTTTCAAACAAAATTTTGGTTTAACAATAATAAAGCTATACTTAGTTTGGACTTGAACAAAAGAGAGGAAAATTGTTTTATTTATTAGTAATTTTTTCAGTCAAAACTACAAGGTAGTCGCCTCCCCTTCCTCCCCAGAAATCAAATTTCCAGGGTTCGGTATCGAAACAAAAGAAAATGCCTTTGATTTCCAGAAAAATTTTGAGTAAATTCAATATTATTTTCTTAAATAATAATAAAAAATTTAAGACATGCTTCTATCAAAAGTCCTTTTCATGGTGTCGAATTCTCTGAGTAGATGAAGTTTTAAATGTTAAAACTCGAAGCAGCTTTCAGTGCCAGCTTGTGACGCCCAAAATTACTTCATAAAATTACTAGTTGAGAATAAACACTTATTAGGCCCATATAGAAATAAATTTCCGTGAAAATCAATTTAACCAAATTTAAAATATATAAAGAACAGGCCGAACAGAACCTTTACTTATTTCTTCTAAACTACGTTCTTTATATATCTCGAATACAGTGGGAACCGTACATTTATGCCGAAAACTTAATACATTTATGATTTCGAAATTTGATTTGAAAACGAGACCTCCCTAAAAGTATGCAATAATATTGGTAGAAAATTTGATCTTTCAAAGAAATATTGTTATTGTAATAAATGTGAAAATTAATATTATATAACAAAAATGTATTATTAATTGTACTGTTTGAATTTTTGATTTATGACAAAGACATGCATATAAAGTGACTAAATTTCTACTTTATGAATAATTTATTTGATTTAATATAATTTTAATATGGCAACTTTTTACATAGAAATCTAGTAAATTATATCTGATTGGCTTATATTACTTTAGTTATACAGATATATGTATTAGTTAAAATTATTCAAAAATAAGGGTAACTAAATTAGTGACAAGCACTTAAAAGAATTTATTTTCAATAAAGAGCAGGTATAAGGAGTGATCTTTCCTGTAATTTTTCAACAGTTTTTGGTTTTAAAAATATTTTTTAATAGAAGAAAACTTTTAGTTGCCCTTTCGCCTCTTTAAGTTACCCAATACTCTAACAACAACAGTTTGCATTCTTTAATATATCAAAACTATACTCTATTACAAAGAGTGTTATAAAGATAAGAATTCATATCTAGGGAGAGAGGGGGGGTTGGTAAACAAATGCATAAAATAATTAAATTTCTATTTTACTGATTTGAATATTTGATTAATTATAGATTCTGTGGCAATAACAGCAGTGGCTACAATTCGAAACTGTAGAAGATCCAAACTAAATCAAAAGTATATAGTTTAAGGACAGTATTCAAAATTATTACTGTTTCTTTGGACCTCATCGAAATTTTATTTACGTATTGATTAAGAAAATTTGTTAAAATTTAAGTGTGGGTTTAAGAGTTGGAATTTATTTAAATACAAATCTGAATAAATTTTTGTGGTGAAGCTACTATTTTTTATAATTTCGACTAAAATTAAGCTATAAAAAACTATAAATTTTAAGCAGTATTCAAAAAATTTCCAAATTTTTAGTATCTAGTCATTTAGTATTTAGGTCATCTTAATCAAAATCTCAAAAAAATTAAAGTATGTTACGAAAAGTTCAAATTTACCAATAAAATAAAGAGATATTACAAAATTCAAATTAAGTAGTTATTGCTTGTAGTCACAGAAATATTGTAATTTCTGAGATATCTTCAATTCTCATTCTTTTGGGAGATTTCTTTAATTCTCATATTATGCCTTAAATATAATTAATTTAATTGCATAATTATGTTGTGTCACATATAATTTGTAAGAAATCTTTATCCTTAAAGACATACATTAGGTAAAAAATTATCTAAATATGAAAATTATAATTTTGATATCAAGTCATTTATCATTATTAAGCTCTACATTATTTATGCACAAAAACATTTATGCATATAAAATTTAATGTTTAGCGCCCTTTTCCTTATAATGATAATAAATTGAATAGTTCTTATATTATAACTGTTATACCAACAATTATAATTTAGCTTTAAGCCTTCTATATATTTTTGTATTTGTATTATTATTATATAGGAGGCATATAGTTTAAAGGTTATTAATATTCAGTTTGACATTATGTTTTCTTACCATCCATTTTCAACTCTTACCGTTTAATAGGTAGGTAACCAATCCTTTTTCTTTATAATAAAATATTGTTTTATCCTTTCTTTAAATGTGCAACCTAAAAGTCAAAATACCTTTAATATTTCTTTTACAAAATTTAAGTTTCTGTTTTTCTCTCGTTTAGTATGATAAGTATACAGGGTGATTTTGTAAAAAATACAAGAAAATTATCTTTAAGATAAACGAAACTAGGGACGATTTTTGACGTTGTTAAAGACTTGAATAATTTAAGGAACGGAAATAATAAGAAAACAATTTATTTAAAAAACTTTTTGGAATTGTTCAAAAATTTGGGATGACATTACCATAGAATAAAAAAATTTTAAATATTAATTTTAATACTAGGCATTCCGAAAATATGACCGGGACACAAAATTACGCTTTTAGTAAAAGCTCTCAGAAGTTTTTTATTTCAAGGACCTAATCCTCTTGGAACAATAACTGAAGCCATAATCAAATTCAACAAATGGAAAAATCGCAAAATTTTCTTAAAATACTTGTATCTCAACAACTATTCAGTTTTGGACAACCTATATGATTCCATAATAACACAAAATTTAATAATGTCTAACATAATATACACAAAATGAGTTATACATGTACAAGTATTTATGGAGAATGTATAAGAATAAAATGAAACATAAAAAGGATATTATTATATAGAATTTTATATTCTATAAGAAAACATGTATAAAATGTAGGTTAGACTCCTTTAAGAAAATTATTCAAGATATCAAGAAAAGGCAAATCAAAAAACCAAAAAAACAAAAAGGATATTATTAAAATATTTGTGTATGTTTCGAATATAAGATAGAAGAAGAATTAAGTAACATGCAAGAGCATATAGAAAATAATATTACTATATTTAGATTCAAGGACATTAATATAACAATTATCGTGTTTCTCTCGTAAAAGAACAACATTTTTTTTTTTACATTATTTTTATTTTCATGTTCTGTTATTCCTATTCTTCTACTTTACTTAAATTTAATATTATTTTTTTTGTTATATTCTTGTTTTTTAAATAAAATATTATGATTTTTTTCATATTAATTTTTAGATAGTATAGAAAATTAAATATCCTTATTGTTATTTTGTAAATTTATTAAAGAGAGAAACTTTAAATATTAAAAGTTTTTTGTATATTTGATGTACAATCTATAGGATATGGTTTTCTTACACTTAAATAATATTTTCCTATCAAGAGACACTTCTGATTTCCTTATTGAAAAACAACTGAAAACGATTCTCTGGTATTAGATATTGCATTTCAGACAATTTTGAGCCTGAATTTATTTCAAATACTTGAGTGAAAATTTATTAATTTGATTGAGTGAAAATTTATTAATTTGATTAGTGAATTTTCTTTAATTTGATTGAGTGAATTTTCATTAGTTTAATTGAGTGAAATACATTATAAATATAGGCTGACAGTGACGACAAATCGAATTACAAATTATCATGCGTCTATTGTTGTATTAAAACTTATTTGAAATTAAAAATCGTCGACCTAAGAGTAATTTAAATACAATAATAGAGGAACAGAATTTTCCGAATTCCACTCAATAAAATTGTACTCAAATTTTATTTACAATTAGGTGAATTACTATTAAATCATAAAAGTCTCATCTTTTTTATTTTTTAAGTGACCAACATAACCCATGGCCTGATAGATACTTTAAAATAACATAAGACAAAATAAGGGTTACATAGTTTTGAAGTGATTGATTAAAAAAGTGTTCTATAAGGTTTGAGTAATTATTTTGAGTGAAATTTTCCCAGGCAAACCCAGTCATTTATTCAGGATATTAAAAATAAGCAGTTTTCCTGTAAATTAAATTTCAGAAAGGAAGGAATTTAAAAATCTTTATTTTTAATTCTTAAAATTACAGAAATTTCAAGTAGAAATAGGGGATGGAGTTCAAGTGTAAGAAATAAAGTAATGTTGCGATAAAAGTTGAAGCATTAAAATTGGAAAAAATTGCATAACGTTAGGGGCATATATACTTTCATGTATTTTAGACTAGTTTTTTTTTCTTGATTATTTAAATTTATTTTCCAAGATGTAATACGGTTCCATTCTGTTTCATTTTGAGAGCAATTTTACTACTTATTTAATAAACATTTAAGCCGCACTCTAAAACTAGAAACATATTCATAATGCTGATTCTGGAAATCTACAACACGATTATTAAATTATACGAGTAAGTAAGAAGGACGAGCTATGTATATGAATTACTTTATGGCAAAAAAAGTAGGAAGTAAGAGGAACTGTGGGAAAAAAATATTTGAACTTTTAATTATCCTTTTTCTTTTTTTGGGAAGGATATTTTGTGAAAATCTTTTTATAGTAAAAAAAATAAAACTAAAACAAATTCCTATAATTTTGTACTAAAAGGGATTATTCTATGGAATTTTAAGAAATATTTTAAATATTAACAATAGAATTTTTTTAAAGGGAAAATCTTAAATTTTATTCAAATATAATAAAAGCGTTAATAGAAAATTATGTGGTTTCTCTTTGAAATTTAACGATTTCTTTAAAGAGCAGCGTTTTGAATCCAAAATTATTATATTTAGAAAAATTCTTGCAATAAATGGGTTCGGTTCGAAACGCTGTTTTAAAAAATAAGTAAATCTTCATACAATATTTCCAATTAGGCTTATATCTGCTTTATAGTTTGTATTATAGGGGCAACTTATATAGAAATATTTCTTTTTGTGTAGTAGATCTGTTACCTAAGAATTAAATTTGAACAGCCTATTTAATTGAAATTTTAATAAAATTCCTCTACTTTCTATTTTATATTCTTAGATTCAACAACATTATCGTTATCAAAAACAAAAAACGGATCAAATGAATGCTCTAACAAGTCAATTACTTTTATTGGAATCTCGTTTGAAACGAAAACAAAAACAAATAGCTAGTATTATATGTCAACGTGAATTAACAATATTACGTCAACAAAAACTAATTGATGCCCTATCATCTAGACTTGTTGATCATGGCCTAGAAACAATTGATCCTGGTTATACTGATTTTGATTCATTAAATGATTCAGATTCAGCTGTTGTATTAGAAGATATCGATTCTGATTGTTATAATTCAACGGCATTAATATCACGTCGTAAAGGTAGTTGTGGAAGTGGTAGTGGCGGCGGTAGTACTAGCAGTGATGGTGTTACAATTGTTCGATCAATATCAGATGCAATTGAATCTAATTTAAATAAATATTCAAGATCAATGAGATCAAATTGTTTTTTAAGACGTCCCGAAGTATTAGAAACAGTTTATAGTGTTGAAGAAGATCCTGAACCACAACAATCTGGTGCATCTGGTACTGATGTAGCTGAAAAACGTGATAAATTTCGTAATAGATCGGAAAAAGTTATTGTTAATTCATTAGAAGGTCAATTATCTGATAGTGGACAATCAACAGGTGGTAATACAAAAGCAGAACAAAATAATACAACATCACCATCATCAAATAATGAAATGCAACAACAACAACAGCATCAACAAAATCATCAAGATAATCATAATAATATGATGGCGAATAATCAACAGAGAAGATATAGTGCCAATATACCAAATATTAATAATTATAATAATTTAGGTGATAATAAAATTTTAGGTTCAATAACATCATCAGTATCAAATATACCATTATATGCATCAGCAATGTGCATTTATCATCATAATGATATTACAAATGGTTCTACAAATCAACAATATCAACATCATCAACAACATTATCAACACCATCATCATCATCATCAGCATCAGCAGCAGCAGCAGCAACAACATAATAATAGTAGTAATGATGATAGTCCAATACATGGAAATTATGTTAAACAATCACAAGTATCACAAGTAACAAATTTTAATCGTGTCATGTCCAATCATAGATCAGTTACAAAACCAAAAGATGTCAAATATAAACGTATTAATAAAGCAAAATCAAAAAGTTTAGAAGAATTACGTGGCCGTTTAAGACATTGGGTTGAAAAAGGTTCAACAACATCATTACATAATGAACATCCAGCGGCAGCAGCTGTTGCTGCTGTTGCATCAACAACATTAATTGGTAGCTTAAATGGTAACCAAATACCACAAACAGCACAAAGTTATGCGTGACAATTAAACTATTATAAATCTTCTGGTGTAAATCAGATTAATCGTAATAGACAAGATATATTTTCAACTGTTTCATCACCAGCATCAACACGTTGTGTATCAACAATTAATTTAGATAAAAAATCGGAAAGATTTAGTTTTTGAAATCTTAGGATTTTTTTATTTGCATTTTTTAATGTGATCATTTTATATTTTATATTAAGATTTTTAAAATAATTTCATTTTAAGTTTATTTTTGTATGTATAAATGATGCATAATAATTAAGGCTTAATTAAGGATTTTGTATTATATTATGTAAAATTTTTTTATATTAGATGGTGTATATAATTTTTAGGGTAACTGTACCATTGAATTTTTGATCTGCTCGTTAATTTTACAATTTTAGTCTATGAAATTTTTTTTAATAATGATTAATTTTGACTTTTCACTTAGGTTTGCTTTATAGCATATTTAAATTTTAAAACTATGCCTGATTTATTGATAATGTCACAGTGAAGCCTCTATTTAATGAACTCTTTGAATAACGGAAATTTCTATTTAGCAAACAATTTGTAGATGGACAATTTAATTTTATTTTGTTTTCAAAACTATTTCCACTATAATATCTCTGCTTAGGTTAAGATTTAGGTTGACGCGGATATTCAAGGATACATTTATGCCAAGTAAGCCCATTGTGATACTGCTAGATCTTCATAACTCCACCTTCACTTGAACTAGCCAAAGTCGATACAAGAAATCTGCCCACATTGAAATCTCGCCTTCTTTGTGCCAAAGCTAATCATACACCCAAAAAATGAGCCACCGTCTCCTCCTCCACGTCACGGCAGCTCTTGCAGATATTGTTAGCCAGGTACCCCATCCATCTGGCGTTTTCGTCAATCAGACAGTGCCTAGTTATAACCTCTACCACAACTCGAATTTAACGCTGAGGGAGAGACAACAGATCAACCGTGCTATGTAGATCTAGCTTAGGCCGAATTTCTGTTTAACATAAACAAAAATTATGGATTTCATGTGTTTGTTATAACAAAAAGACTTCACTGTGTTTGCAGAACAAGTTATTTACTTAAAAATTATGACTATAGTTGAATAACTCAACTTTGTTTTTAAATTCTGTTGCATATTTTCTATTTACTGTTTTCAATTTCGGAAACGTAAAATCTCCAATATTTTATTAGAATAACAATAATTACAAATTTAAAACTTCATAATTTTAGCGATTCATGTAACGCCATAGTATTTAACGCCATATTGAATTATAGCTCATTTTCGTACTAGGTTTCAGACTATATTTAAAATTTGAACTTGATTCTCTAGATATCTTGTGTTTTTTTCTAATTCTACTCTTTTGATTTAATCATTCTCTCTTTCGTTTCTCTTTGATTTCAAATAGATTACAAAAAATTTTAAAATAGAACTATTTCAACTAATTATATTATTAAAGATTCTTATATAAAATGAAAATTATATAAACTATAAATATAAAACAGAACGATTTTAAGGTTTCACTAATTCAAATTATTTAGTTAACAATCTGAATGTACCTATATGTATATAATTATAATTACATGTAATTATCATAAATTTATATACTAAAATTAAATTTTTTCATTTATTAAATATATTGCTCTTTAACACTATATCAACAGCACGCTATAGAAATTAATGTATAAAAACTTTATAATCTTAACTAATTAAGTGAAAATTATTTTTCATATTTAAAGCTCATACAGTATAAAAAACTAATAACTATATCAAAGTCTAACTAGTTATATATGAATAAAATTTTTTTCAATTTTAATTTAACAAAATGTAAAACTGATTTATTTTTTCAATTCTTAACTGATTTAAATAGGATTATGACTTCAAAATTGTAATAATACGGCATTTTTACATTATTCAGCAATTACAACTCATAAGCTGAATTGTGTTTTAATGCCTTATTAGAGTAATTTTGGAATCATTTTGATTAGTATAACTGTTTTGTTTTTTTGAAATGTTAAAAACCAAACAATGTATATATATTATAAAAAAATCTTCAAAAAATACTACTCAAATAAAAAAGCTTGTATGGCCTAATTGCACTTTTTAATGTTTTAAGCAAAAAACAAAAAAATTTTGTATAATATTCTTATAATGTAAAATATTTAAAAAAAAAGGAATTATAGTAATGAAATTTAAAATAAGATTTAAGATTTTATAAGAAAAAAATAAATTCAAATATAAAATGGCGCTGTAAAAAAAAAAAAAAGAAAATACAAAAATGGAATATAAATGGCTTCAAATTTCCACTACTACTGCATTACTAAACAATTTAGCAATTACAACCCATAAGCTGAATTGTTTACTAATATCGTATTAATGTATTTTTGAAGTCGGGCATTTTTTAATCTTCATAAACCTATTTACTAAAGAGAATTTACTATTTCATAAGCTGAATTCAAAAATGCAAATTAACAATTATTGATTTACTCAATTTTGTAAAATATAATATTGTTCAGCTGAATAAAATATTCTTCATTATATTAAATTGTATTTTTAAATCCGATTAAAATTTATAAAACTAAAGAAATTTCATGATTTTAAATTTCCATATCAATATTAATTTTTGTTATTTAAATTTCTTTAAAGTTTTTTTGGTTGTGACGAATTCTGTATCAATGTGTTTCACTGATATAATGGCCTATTATATTGCTAAATAAGAATTTGTAAATTTGTATTTATACTCTATCGTCGGAATTCCTGTAATACACTTAATTCAGCTACCAGTACTTACAGGCTGAATTTTGTGATAACGGCATATTAGAAATTCTAGTACTGGAATAACACTATAATTGTTACAATATACAATTCAGCAATTTAGTATAGTTTATGAGCTAAATTTCTACTACAATTCCGATATTAGTGTATTTAACATAAATCTATAAATTCACCTATAGCTTTTTTTATTTAGTTATGAAAAACTCAGAAAAATGAAATATCATTTAAAATTAATTAAATGAATAAAATTAAATCTACACTCACACTAATAAAATATAGTTAGAAAATATAACAAATTAAAAAATATTTTTATTAATGAGAGTTCTTTATATTATAAATAATTATGAATAATATAAAACTATATAATATAGCATTTAAATTTTGTAACAAATTTACAGGGAACTATTAAAAATTTATAATTACAAAATATTTCAATTAATTTCAATATTTTTAATTAATTTTGTATAACAATTTCGATTTATTTCTGCTCAAAAAATAAAATATATAACACAAAATTATATGCACTCAAAAGTACACACAGAAAAAATTAGATTTTTTTAAAATTACTATTTATATTTGTATATACTAATATTATTAATAAATAAATAAATTAATATTAAGAAGTAGTTATTCAATATATTATTAAAAAAAAAAATACAAAAGCAAATGAAAACTAAATTAATAAAATAGAAAATATATTTAGAAAAGAAAGAGACAAAGAAAAATACAACTTGAATTTAAAAAAAAAAATTAATTCTGAAATTTTGTGATAAATTTAAAAAAATTTAAAGAACTACCTTTTGAAAACAAATATTTACTTCTGAAATTCCTGGTACCTACTTATATATAATTACATATATTTTTTAAAATATAACAAATTTATTAATATTATAAATAATTAAACTTCGTGAATCAATTCATCAATATTGTATAATACTATATAATGTATCGAAAATTAAAAATCAAATTTATAGATTACAAAAATTTCATGTCAATTTCTTATAATTATTTGACACATTATCTTCTGTTTTGACAAATTAATGACATTAAATATTTTATGACGTGAAAAACATTCAAATTTATTTGATATTAAATTATAATTGGAAATATCAAAAGTAGAATTGCAGAAATGTTTAACGAAATTGTATAACAGTTTTGAAATTACTGACAAACTACATAAATTTCGATCCTATGTCAATTTGATTTATTTATATAGCATGCAAGGTATTTTCATTGACATAACACAGAAAAACAATGACTAAAACACAGTCACGCCCTAAAATTTGGTAAAGATGCACTAAAATTAATTCTTAACTATTAAAACTAATTTGGTGGGCTTTATATTCAACTAGATTAAGGTTTTGTAATTATCGTTCCCATTATTAAATCTTTGTCAATATTATAAATGGTCAAATTTTATAAAGGAAAAAAAAAATTTTAAATTCAATTCATTTTCACCATAGATTTTCGATACATTTTTGAAATCATTTTTTACATTTAAATAATATAGAGAAAAAAAATATAGAAAAAATTCTTATTTATTCAAAACATTTATAATAATAATATAAAAATTAAAATATTATATTTTTTTAAATCCAACAGTATAACAATTACAATTTAAAATAATAATAATTATTAAAAATGCATAAATGCAACGGTAAACAAGAATATTGTCGAGATAATCACTTTAATATAAAATATATAAAAATAAAATAAAAAAAAAAAAACAGAAGAAAATTATTAAAAAATATTTTTCACAAATTTAAGAATTAAAACAAAATCAAATAAATTAAATAACTACTTAAAATACACTCATATATAAAATATTTATTTATAAAAAAAAAAAAAATCAAAAATATATAAAAATATTTTAAAAAACGAGAAAAGCAAATTATAACAAAAATTTGTTATAAAAAAATAAAGCATAATTCTAAATTTAATTAATTTTTAAAAGAGAAAAACGAAAAATAAATTAAAATAAAACACACACACAAAAATATTAAAAATTTATTTAAATTAAAAATGAAAATCACATAATTTAAAAATTATTAAAATAATTATTAATTAAATTTTTTCTCTATAATTTTCTTTAAATTTTCTCCTCACTTGAATTTACTGCAATTATTATTAAAAATAATCTCAATTATTTCAAAAAATTTTTATATTTGGTAAACAACAATATAAAAAGTGACAGCTAACTGTATTAGTTTGACAATACGCGAGTTGACTCTTATTCATTGTCGTTGCAAGTAGAACTTACAGCTTTATCGAGGAAACGCTTCAACAACACTTATAACTATGAAAACAGAATTAAAACGGTAAGCGGCAACGTCAAACGATTTCCGCTTTTACTCTAGAACAAGATCGGAACGGCAAAATTAAATGAACAGTATTTTGTATATAATTAATTCGATACACACATGGACACAGATAATGTTGGACGATTTCCATTGTTAATTTAGAATAAGATCGGATAATTAATGCATAGAATAAATATCACAAACACATGAACACACAGATAATGTCAACAAAAAAAAAAACCGCCAGCGTTAAAGTAGGAATTAAGGCTATTTCACCGCGAGCAATAAAATTCATGGCGGTAATTTCGCTTGATTCTGAGCAGTCTCATTTAGATATATGTATTCTATATGAATTCCGACATTTGGTCGCGGAAAATCGTTCTTGTTCTGTTTTCAATTTAAATCGTTCAATATTAGTTTATCAAGATTGTAGCAATTTTAACATTATACTGGATGATACGGTGGAATTAACTCTTATATGGACTTAATGAACATCTGGCCAAGATACCAGATGGGCGGTCAAAGAACTTTATCACGATAATATATAAGTGACCACCAAATTATTTTTATAATGTTATCTAAAAAGGCCTGGCCTAAATATACGAGTACACATATTGACCGGATATAATATTACCTCTTGTTAATAGAAGTTGAACGCTATTCAATGTGAAATTCGTTCCTGTAAGCTCAGCTTAGTGGACCGTTTGATTAACATTTTTATTCCACATTAAATTTTACTGAAACTTTTATTTGATTTCAATAACAATGAACTTATATATATAGATCGTAATAATTTTGAACTTTGAAAATTTTAATAAAAAGTGTTGCCAATATTATTATTTATTTTTACTATTACTATTTACTGCATATCTTCCTATATGAGTATGGGATAAAATTAAAAACACAAAAAATTTCAATTTTTTTAAGCCAAATATTAATAAGAAAATAATCTTAAAAAAGAATCAAATATCCAAACTATGAATATCATTAAATAATTAATATATTGTAAAAATATTTAAATATTAAAATTATTTAAAAAAAAGAACTTAACTCAAATCATTTATTTGAAAATCGCTCTAATATGACACTTATACCCAACTCACAATTTAATTTTCACAACCTAAATTTTGTGTTAATATAAAGTATGACAACAATAATTTTGCAATTGTAACACACTCTAATCTGAAATATTGAAAAAGAATCATTTCCGATTAGAGTAAAAAAAATTTTACACTGCGTTCTCTGCATTAGTAAATTTACACGCTATCATTTTGTACTTCCAAACAACACTAGACTAAAATCGAATTATGTATGTATTTTCCTCTTATAACTAAATTCATCTTAGAACTAAAAGAAAATATTTAAGAAAAACCTAAAAATGGCCGGTCATAAACTCAAAATACTAAATTTTCAGGCGCCTTCAATATAAAATACTTCAAATTCACTCAAAACATTAAAATCTATAAAAAAAAGTTTCTAAGTAGATCTATACATTATACATAAAATATTTAAATATAAAATAAAATTAAATAATAAAATATAAATGTTAAAATTAGGTTTAGCAATTAAGCAAATATATAAGAAAATAAAATAAATTTAAAAAATTATTAAAATATAATTCAAAAAATAAAAAACTTTTCTTTGGAACTTTGAAACTAAAAATTATAAAATAAAATAATTGAATTATAAGAGATTCAAATAAAGTATAAGTAGATTTGTAGGTTATCATACTATTATAAAATTTAAGAATATAAGTAATTTTATTAACAAATTAACTAATTTACTTATAATATTGTAAATAAATTGTGCTTTTATTTAAATTGCGAAAAAAAATTATAAAATATTAAAATTAATTATGTAATTAAAAAAAAAATTATGAACAGAAAAAAAAATATTAATAAATTGGATTGCTAATAAAAATCATTACCAAAGAAATTATATGAAAAAAAATATATAAATTTTGTTGAGTTTTTATTAAAATTACAGATTTTCCGGGCCTTAGTCTACCCCTTTTCTCGAATATTTTAGGAATTTACAACTATTCATTTTGACAACATCAAATTTTTCTTACTGAACATTTCAATACTGAATATTGAAACTATTAACTATTGAGCAATAAAATTGAAGAGTTTAATGCCATATATATATATATATATATATATATACAGGCCATCAAGTTCAGAGAGTAAATCAAAAAGAAATTCCAAATTTATATAGAGCTTAAATGGAACGTGTATCGGAATTTATTTGTGCGAAGGAAATAGATCAATATTTTTGGCTCTACTGATTCTACATATTTTTTTAAATTTAAAATTTAAATTTCAAAAAAATATGTTGGTAAATTCCATCTGAAAAATGCATTTAAAAAAAATTGCAATTTTTAGCACAGACAACCTTCTTTGTCTTCTAAATGGAAGGTCACTGAATTACAGAGTAAAATTTTTGAATAAAAAATAGGATTTAAAAATAAATTGAAGAAAAAAAGCAAAAAAATAATAATTATAATCTAGATGGCTTTTGAAATCATACTAAATAAAATGAGATTCATAAAGACTACTCAAAAATTTCATGAGGAAAGTAAATAAAATAATGTAAATATTTCAATCGGCATACTTCGAAAACATAAAATATTTAGAATTGTTTTTGAATTTTTTTCCGATTCAAAATACCTAAAAATATTTTTAGCTTTACATGGCTCAGAAATTTTCAAAATAATAATTTCCTGTTTTCTCAAAAAAAATAATTCATATCGATGACAGAGTCATCTGGTGATTTGTACTTATACTCAAAAGACAAAATAAAATTCTTAGATAGATTTCCCGAAATAATTTTCTCTTTATAATGTAATTATTACCGATAAAAACAATCACTGGAATATTACTTTTTAGTTAATACAAGAACCTTTTTGTTTTTCCAAATTTTTTGAACTAAAATTTTGTATACTTTTTATGTCAAACTTTTTTGTATTCAATAAAGTCAATGTGAATTTTTGTAAATTCGTTTAAAAATTAAAATCCCTACGCATTACTAAATTTGTATTCATAATATCAGGGACTAAAATTGATTAAAACTTTTAATAAATTAATAAGAAACGTTTATTAATGTAGATAAAAAAAAGCCAAGTAACCAAGTAACTTCAGTTGTTAAACTTTTAGTTAAAAAAGTTTTTTAAACGAAACAAGGAGGGTGGCACCAATTTAATATGGTATCTTTCTTAATTTCTTCTAAAAAATTTGGAAATCTGTTTAGTAAAGGCTGCAAATAACGTTTTTTTCGAAAATAAAGTAAATTTCGCGATTTAATATTATTAACACTTTGACAGTTTTGTAATATTTATTTAGTGTTTGAGAAATAAATGTATCCACATTTCAGCAAAATTTTCAAATGTAGCCAATTTCGACATTTTATCAGATTTGAGTATCTTTGCAGCTAAATTTAGAGCAAAAATGTATCCAAATGGATACAATTGTATCGAAGGGGAAACGCTATATGCAAACTTAAGTTTCTCCAAAAAAAAAAAGGAAAAAGTATTCAAAATAAAAATAAATAAACAGCTGGCCATCTAAACGCTTTTGTTGAAAATTCTATGAAAGATCCTAAAACTTAAATCTACTTTAAAATTTAAAAAATGAACTCAAGCTATAAATAAATATAAAATCACTTTGCTTTTGTTTACTAAAATATTCTTCTAAATTTTTAAATAATACGTAATTTAAGGAGAACACCACATAAAAAAGTATGATAGGACCATAAAAACAGACGCTGTTATTTTTCTTTAATTGCAACACATCAATTTTCAATAAAATTTCATAATTTATTTAATAATCCAAATTTATTCGAAAGTCACCAATAGATGTCGCACACAAAATATTAAAAATCAAAATTGATATCTTAAATTTAACAATAATGACAACACTGTTTATCCACTGACATTTTAAAATGATAGTTTTCAATATTGTCAAAATTGACATTTCGAAAAATATTTTTATCTGATTGGAAAACAAAATTAAATATGAAAATGAAAAGGAAGAAGACAGAAAGAAAAAAAAATCTTCCAAAAAGAAAAGAAGAAAAAAAAACTGCACAAAATTGAGTAAACGACATTTTTATATTTGAGAATTTCTTGTGAGTCGTGTTTCGAATTTTGTTCCGAATACTTTAAAATTTTACTATTAATGCGGATAAAAAAAATTTAATTAGAAAAATTACAAAAAAAAAAAGATAAAAGTTATATTGCATTGCATGTAAAAAAAATAACTATTTTTAGTTATTAAAGTAAATTTGTCTGCAATAATATTGAAAAAATATTAAAATTACAAAAATTGAAATTTATTAAAATTAAATGTGTGTGTAAAATTAAAGAAAAATTTTAATTTTTTACCTTGCGGTTAAAGTGTTTTTTTCTTTTTTTGCTTTCTGTGTTTTAGACGCCAACAGAATTATTAATTTTTTTTTGTAACTTGGAGATTTGATTTTGAGTAAAATAATAAAGGCGAATTCCTTAAAATTGTGCAAAATTCTTTTTTATATAAAATTAAAAACTTATTTTAAAAAATAAAATAGTTGTTCTGCCGCAACTTTAATCACCATAATAAAAAATTTGCATGCATTTTTATCTGAAATATCAAAAAAAAATAGAAGAATTGCTGCTGCTGCTGCTGGTTACTTTTCTGCCTGCTGATATTTTCTTATAATTTCAATAAGATTCAAATAAGACATTGTGTTATTGATGGATTAAATATCAAAAAATTCTATGGCTGAAAGTGCTTAAAAAAAATTTAGTCAATAAAAAAAAAAACAAAAAAGGAGTGAAAAAATCAGAAAAAACAACAAAAATAAAAAAACAGGCAAAAAAGTTTATTGTCATTTTTGTACCACGTCAAAAGATTTTTTTTTTTTTCAAAAAAAAAATAAAACAGGAAAAAATTAAGTTTTAAAAATTTCAAGAAATTTACAAAATTCTCTTTTTTATTGAAAAATAATTTTCAATAAAATAAAAAAATTAAATTTAGTTTTCATTTGAATAAAAAACTCTTGAATGTCAACAATATTTTCCTGTAAGAATTTTAATTACAAAATTTTGAGGAAGAATTTATTGTACAAGGAGATTTTCGGTCTTTTAAATTAAAAAAAAAAACAAATTAGTTGCAAAATTGGGAATTGAATTAATTTCAATTTTTTTATAATTTTAGTACCACTTGCATTAAAACATCCGAAAGTAAATTTAATGTGTATGAAAATCTAATAGGATAAGAAAAATAAATAAGAACCAAACACCCCCCCGAAGCAAACAGGTACCTATGCTTACACCTATACCTGTTTAATAATAAATTTACTTGTATTAATTGCAATTATTAATAACAAAATAATAAATTCAATTTTAATTTTAATTCTATATTTTGGTGATTTAAAAAAGCAAAATCTTAAAATAAAAAAAAGTTTAAAGATTAATTAAGAAATTACGACACAAAAGAAATTTCGTGAAATCAAAATATTTTTTTTTGGCTAAGTGTGGAATTATTAATGCACTAATGAGGTAAGTGAATTTTGTCTCCATTTAATATTAATATATTTTACTTACTTACATGTAACCTCAACTATGATCATTTCTAATTAATGATAATGTTAAATGTACAGAATCTTTAAATGAGTTTCCTGTCTGGGCAGAAGTTACATTTGAGGCGATTTTTAATTTAGTATATAAACATATTATGTAAATTTTATAAGTTGTGAAATTTAAAAGTTGCAATCTTAAAGAATTCTACAAAAATTTTTCATTTTAGTTAAATTGGAAATTTGTTTGAAAATCGTGGGATTTGCAAAAAAAAATTAATAGCTCATAGCATTTTTTAGAGAATTCATGACATTTGTTAGAAAAATCAAGGCATTTGTTAGAAAAATCAAGGCAACTTGAAAGAAAATTGATGAATTTTGTAACAAAATTCTATGAATTCATTAGAAAGTTCAAGCCCGTTGCAAGAAATATAAAGAAATAATTTAAAAAATTATAAGGAAGTTGTAGTCAAAATGTTAAATTTAATCAAGATCTTAATTTACTTCAAGACATTTAGAAATTGAGTGTAGGACACCAACTTTCCTTAAAAACACAACGATATTTATTAACAAAATATTTAATTCAGAAACTGGTGAGAGAAAAAACACAAGGAAAATGTGCAAATATTGAAGTTATCAAACTAACGTAGAAAAATATAAGAAAAAACAAAAACAAGAAAGTAAACGCCAAAGCAAAAGCAATAAGGAAAAAAAAAACAATAATAACAACAACAAAAACAAAAATCCCTTCATTCGGTTTTTTATCGATTTTTCATTTTTCTTTTTTCTATTTTCATACAAATTTTTCCTTCATTTTTCTATTCGCCTTATTTATTTTCTTTTCAATATTTTTTTTTTTATAATTTGAATTTTTCATTTTATTCCTTTTTTTTTTTTTTTCATTTTTCTTTTTGGGATAAAAGTTGTCATGACAATGAAAATGGAGTTTTTATGCTTATTGTATTTTTCTTCCTACATAAAATTCTAATATTCATGTACATATTTTGTTTATGTCTATACATTGTCTACATACTTGCAGAAATACGTACGTACATGTATGTATGTATATCCTTTATTACATGAGCACAAACACACACATAATTCTATAGCTTTTACTTGATCCAAAAACAAATGAAATAGAAAATATTCAGCTTATCTCAGCCAATTATTTGATTTAAAGTGTTCTTGCCGCCTGCCCGCTTGTTAGTCAACCATAAACTAGACAAAAAAGTTAGTAGATAATAATGCAGTCAAAATAAAAAGCAATAAAATAAATGCCAAATAATATTATTTATAATAATTTTTAAATTTGTGACAATAAGTCTATATATCGTCAAAGTAAAATTAGGTAGCTTGGAGGAAATCAAGATTTAAAGTAATTTCTTTTTAAAATTGAAGAGTTTTTCTGGGTTGTTTGCAGAATTTGAATAGTTTTTTTGGGTTGATGGTAGAATTTGAAGAATTTTTTTGAGTTGTTTGTAGAATTTGAGGAGTTTTTTGGGTTGTTTGTAGAATTTGAAGAGTTTTTTTGGGTTGATGGTAGAATTTGAAGAGGTTTTTTGGGTTGATGGTAGAATTTGAAGAGTTTTTATGGGTTGATGGTAGAATTTGAAGAGTTTTTTTGGGTTGATGGTAGAATTTGAAGAGTTTTTTGGGTTGTTTGTAGAATTTGAAGAGTTTTTTGGGTTGATTGTAAAGTTTGAAGGCTTTTTTGGGTTGATTGTAGAATTTAAAAAGTTTTTTTGGGTTGTTTGTAGAATTTGAAGAATTTTTTGGGTTGATTGTAAAGTTTGAAGAGCTTGTAGAGTTGTTTCTAGAGTTTGAAATATTTTCTCAAGAATTTAATTATTTCCCTTAGTGTTATTAATTTTTTAGTTCAATCAACTTTTCTCAAATTTAATCAAGTTTGTTACCAATTTTTTAAAGATAACCAGATTTTCGAAATCATAGGATAACAGCAGTTTGGACTCAACTTCTTGGAATTGTTTAAAATCAAATATTGCAATTGGTTGATATTCTGTAGTAAATTGATTCTAGAGGTTTTGTCCAGTTGCCACCGAAATATACATCTGTGTGCAGATACTCATAACTACAATACTTATTTGATATAATAATAACCTTAGATATTTTTTTTTTTCAAATAATCAATCTAATCGAGAATGTTTAAGACGAAAAACGATTCAAAACAACAAAATACTCGTACAAACATAAAAAAAATTGTAAAAATCATAATAATCAAAATAATAAAAAAAAAATCAAGTAATGAAATCAGCAAAAAGTCAATCAGTCCAGCCAACTCAAACTTTGTTTAGTTTTTCATTTTGGATAACTTTTGCCATATTTTATCGTTTTGTATATAAGTACGTATATTCAAGGCATGCAGCCAGAAGCATTAAATGTTGATGACACTTAAGTAGACGATAGGAATTTTTGTGTTAAAATAAGAGTAGAAAGAAAATAAAAACAGGAAGAAGAGGGTGAAGAGTGAAATGAAATGAAGAATGAAAAAAAGATGAATGTGTCTTGTATTCTTTTCTTCTGTTATTCTACTTGGGTTATTTTTTTTAATATTTTGTTCAATGTTCATGTCTTCTTCTTGTTTTTAATGTTGCCGTTTTTTTATTTTTTTTATTTTAGGTTCATCAAACGATAAATTCGCTCTATTAGAAGTTTATTCTCTTATATGTACAACACACAGTACAATACAACATCGCCTCCTACACATTTTTACAATTTTTGTTCTTAAAAGATTTTGATTCAAAAATAAGAAGTGAAACTAAGAAGAAGAAGAAGAAAAGACAGCCTTACATTATGATTTTCTATAAAATTTATTCTTATTTTTTTTCCAATTTTATTATTGCTAATTTTATTTTTTAAGTATGCCAGCCAAAAAAATGAAAATCACATACTTTAGTACCTAAAAGCAAAAAAAAAACTCTAGAATAATTTTTATAAATTGCATACAAATTTAAAGGATTTTATTTCAAATATATTCATTGTATATTAAAGAATTGATAGAAAGAAATGTTGGGATTGAAATATAAAAGCAAAGGAATAAAGAAGGAGGATTGAAAGCGCGCATGAGGTTAAAGTTAAAGGAAATTTCCGATGTTTACAACCATTTCTGATGTCTGCATGCTGTGACCTTTACATTATATTTCATACAGTTCTTTCTTCTTATATAAACTCAAATAGACAAAAGAGAATATATAAAATTTTTGTTGAACGAGGTGGGCACGAAATGAAGGGTAAAAAACGTTCCTTCAAATTATAACAATTCATAAAGTCATAAGAATGAGTTCCTGCTTTGACTTTAAGGACAAAAATTTAAAAGAATTTAAAAATTTTGTTTGGAAGCAAGTGGATTTTTTTTTCTCTCCTGTTTCTGTTTTTTTTTTCGTTTTTTTGTCGAAACAGGAATATATTTTTTTTTTTATATTCTAATTCTACTAAAAATAAGTTGCAATGCTAATGAGAATTATTGTTCCAAAATTATTGTTAAATTCTTGTATTATCATAATTTTTTTTTATTCATTGCGATTAAGTTTTCTTTTTCCTCTTTATTTCTCATATATTTTTGTATAACAGAAAAAGAGCTCATGTATGGTATGGGGAGAAAAGTAAGAGACTATGATGATGATGATGATGACGGTGAAGATGATTATAATATGAAAATTTTGGCTGCAAGGGATGTGATGAATATTAAGTACAATTTAAGTGTAGGGTTTTTTTTTTGCAATTGAGACACTACATGACCTTAAAATACGAGCACATATCGCATTTATGATTGAAGTTTTAGAGATATTATACACATCTCCCGAAAAGTGAGAAATTTTTTTAAATTGGAATGTCAAAGAAGTTGAATACGATTTTTTATTGTGTGACAGAATAGTCAAATTAATTACAATAATAAAGAGAGTAAATTGTGCTATATTGAGCATAATGACATTTTTTCATACTATAAGACAAAGTATGTATGCACAAGTATTAATGTCATTTGCAATTTGGTTGTGAATGCGAGTTTTCCGATTACACTGTAAGTAATTTCATCTCTCAACAAAGTGAATATAATTCAATTCTTTTATTTTTAAAATAAATTTGCTAATATAATTGAGCTTTACAGTTACTTATAAATATTGTTCTCAAAGAGTCTCTCATGAGTCATGGCTGACTCTCATATTTGCTGGATAATTCATTCCGATTTTTGAAATACTTAATATGTGGTGGACACATGTCTAATCGTACAAATATCGCAATTCATGCAGAGTAAATGGGCTGGTAAGTGTATATAATAAATTTGCTTCTATTATGCTAGACAGTTTTACCATTCACTCTGTTTTTGAAAATTTTAAAAAATCTATTTACTTTAAAACAGGTTAATACCCATATCATCCCCAAAGCTACTATATAGGTAAAAATCTATGAAATAATTGTGTAAAAAAAGTGAAAAAGAGAAAACAAGATAAATTTTTTGGCTGACAATCTCTATGAATTAAGAGTCAAAAAAAAGAGAGAGAAAAGAATGAATATTTTATAAAAGTATGAAATTCTTATTTTGATTTTTCATCTTTTTGTTTTCTTTTTCTATTCATAAAAGTTAAAAATTTTTGTTTTCGGGCACTCTTGGTATTTTGCAATGTTTTTGAGGATTTTCAAAAGGTATTCTCTCTCCACCTTTTGTCTGTGATGTGACCAAAAGTTCTTCCTTTCTTCTTATTTTTCTGTTCTGTATTTTTTTTTGTTGTTTTTGATTTGTTACTTATGCCTTGTTTTCAATTCTTTTAGAAAAAGAAATTTTTTGGGTTTGGTTTTTTTGAGTACAGTGCTTATATGCGTAGTAATTTAAGTATGTTTGTACTCATTTGTATTCGTAAAAACGTAATCGTAAAAAAAAATATTTTGACGATATTTTCAACTTTTGTTATTCTTTACTCATATTTTTTTGTTTTTTGGAATTGCTGAAATTTTGCTTAAAGGAAAATT